AGCCGCCGCCCGCGCTGCCCGGGTCCGAGCCGAAGGCGGCGCCCGCGCACGGCCTCTGCCGGCACGGGAAGCCCAGGAGCAAGGGCCGGAGCTGCAGGCGGAGCTGTCAGCGGCCCGTCACCGTGGACAGCTCCAAGGCCAGGACCTCCCTGGACGCCCTGAAGATCAGCATCCGCCAGCTCAAGTGGAAGGAGGTGAGGCCCGCCCGGCCGCGTGGGCACAGGGGGGTGGACAGGACGACCTCAGAGGAGCCGGCCAGGGCCGAGGCTGCGCTCCTGCCGTGCGCCACGCTTGAGACTGCTTGTCAGCCGCAAACTGCTCATCCTTCGAGGCCTAGCCCCGAAGTCACTTCCTCGAGAAGGCTTTCAGACCCCTCCAGGTCAAGTTAGCCACTCCTTCCCCTGGCGCCCCTACAACCCTGTGGTCTCCAGCCATCAGCACTCTCCTCCCCACAGTGTAGATGTTCATTTATATGTCTGCCTCCTCCGCCACCTCGTGAGTCCCCGGGACCCCAGACCTCCTCTTTCACCTCTTCATTTAAGTTATATTTGTTTAGCATTTACTCTGCGGCTCTTGGGCAGTTGAACAGATGATACTTTGGAGGCAGACAGACCTAGGGTCTCACCACACCCTGCCGCTTAGCTGTGTGGCTTTGAGCAAGGTGCTTCACCTCTTAAGCCTATTTCCTCCTCTGTCAAGTGAAGCTAATAATACCTCTCTCCTAGTTCTGTTAGTATTAGAAGACTCACTGCTTGTTGTAGTATAGCACAAGTTTGCAATAATCTTACCACCCTCTCCTCTCTGTCTTGCACCATCACCATCACCATCATCAGTATCAGTGCAGGTACTGTATTTTATGTTCCAGGGCTTGGCATATAGTGGGTGCCAGGAAGCGGTGGGTGAAAGGGTGAATGAAGGAGTGGGTTATTTGTCCATGAACCCATTTTAGACCTGATGGGGGCTGGGATGAAGCACCAATGACATCTAGAGGTGTCTGTTGGCTGAGTGGATAAAGCCGTTTGACTTTATTTGCAGCGTCTAAGGTTATTTCATGGCCTTCAGGAGTGGCAGGGTTGTGATTTGGGTAGTCAAGTCTGGAAACTCGGACCCAGATGGTCTGCTGATGGAACAGGGCTCTGCAGCAAGCAACATGAGGATGTGGGTACTTAGCCCTGGGCCTTGGCTGTGGTAGACATTCAGGGATGGGTTTTTGAAGTTGGAACATGCAGAGAGATGGCCACAGAAAGGATTGATGAGGTCAGAGGGTTGATGTCCCAGCGAGAAGGCGTCATATGGTTTGGAGGGAAGTCAAGAATCAGGCAGGGCAGTCTTGCAGGTAGGTAGGGTGACTGACTAGGAAGACTGACTCCAGGTGTCAGGGCCCCCAGCCTGGGTGCTTGGGATTCATGGGAGGACTTTCATGCCTAGGAAACCTGGAGAAAGTGAGGGAGGGCTCCCAGTTCTAGACAGGGTCCCGGGTCCAGGCTAGAGATATGAAGACCAGAACAAGATAAAACTGGAGAACTTGTCAGTGCTAATGAAGAGAAATGCAGGGACTGAAACCAGGCCACAGAGTCAGGCAAGCCTGTGCTTAGCTTAGCCCCGTGGGAGAGAGAGATGTGAAGCTGGCTAGATCTTGAGAGATGGAGCCAGATAGACTCAGAAATCAGCAGGCATCTGTGGCGGCCCAGGTTCATTTACTCATTCCGCAACTGTCTGCTATGGATGCTGGGCCCTAAGAATGAAAGATGCTTAAGATGTAACCCTTGCCCTCGAGGACCTTACAGTTTAGTAGAGGAAAAAACGCAGGTAAAGAAATCATTGCAGTAAGTACAGGGCCTCTGCCGCTGCTTCCTGAAATGCTCTTTTCCCTGTTATTTCCCTGGCTCACTCTGACACTTCAGATCTCTGATCAAATGCCACCTCCTCAGAGAGGCCTTCCCCCATGATCCCTCCACCCACCCTTGCTCTTCTTTATTGTTTTTGTAGCACTAAACTCCACTGGACATCATATTTTTTATTGTTTGTTTATTGTCTGTTTCCCTCACTAGAATGGAAGCTCTGTGAGGGCAGGAGCTTTGTTTTATTTACTGCTGTATCCTCAGGTGCTTGGCACATAGAAGCTGCTCAATCAATTCTTGTTGACTGGACGAATCCTTACGTGATGAGTGTTTCTCTCTCTCCATGTAAAGGTGTAGGTGCTGTGGGAGGGAGAGGAGGACCACCTCAGAAGGACTTCCTGGAGGAGAGAGACCTGAGCTGAGTTCTGAGTGCTGGAAAGGAGTAGGAGTTATTTAGGGGCTGTCGACTTTGGATCCCTTGTACGGGGAGTAGAATGGGCAAAGCAGAGGTCCATCCAGGGCGCTGCACAGAGTTCACTATGGCTGGATTATGGAGTGGGAGGCCGAGGGGTGAGAGATGAGGCTGGAGAAATGAGCAGGGGTCAGATCGTGTGCCACGCTGTGGGATTTGGACTTTTTTTTGGAAGACTCTGTGAGCCACTGGAGAACCTTAAGGTTCTTCCATTTATCAGCTATGCTGCTTTGGCAAGTGAGTTCAACTCTTTAGGTCTCAGTTTGCCTATCTGTCAGATGGGGTGGGTTAAGCTAGTTCAGTGGTTCCCATTCTCTCTTCCGCTGCAGCCACATGATGGTAATGTTAGTCTACATGAGGACATGCCCTGGTGAACCCAGTGCGGTGGGCAGTTTCCATGGTACTACCTGTAACTTGCTGCTGCACCCCGAAGTCTGCCTTTTTCTCCCGCTCAGAAAGCAGATTGGCGTGTAAGCGGAGATGCTCATTCTAGTATATTTTAAAACATAGTTTGCTCACAACAATAAGACTTTTCTATTAGATGTGTGATTGTTTACCTGGTGTCACTCTTCCCTATTAGTCTGTGAGGTCCTGAGGGCAGGAGTGGTGTCTGACTTGTGTCCCCGATGCCCAGCACGTGGTAGGTGTTCAGTAAGTATTCACCAAATGAATGAACGAAATACTTGCAACAGAGCTCACATCTCGGCTTGACACCCTACAGTGTGGAGTTTGAAAAGTGCCAGGTGGAAAACTTTAAAGTTCCTTCCAGCTTTAACCTATGATTATGGTATTTTGAGTACCTACTACAAAGTTGACTGTTTGACAAGTAACATATCTATAAATCAGGTACGAAGTGCAAACACAGCCTCTCCAGGCCTCAGTTTCCCCACCCATTACAGGGGTGACGTTGGACAAGATCATCTGTAATGCTCAGCCCTAATGTTCTAGGAGCTGGAATGTCTACTGGGGTCAGGGACCCAGGAAGTGAGCCACGGTGTCCCTTGCGTGTCATGATGTGCTGCTTCTGTAGGATTTGGGAGTCCCCAGCTGGCTGGCTTTGGCAGGGGAGGGTAGGTAGCCCAGGAAAGAAGTAAGGTCATGAACACTAACCAGAGTGAAAGCTTTGTATCTTCTTATGTGTGTGGTGAGGGGCTACACAACACGGTCCGTTTAGCAGGAAGCGATCTCCCTTCCTCCTTCACTGTTCTTTATTCCACAGACATCTAAGAACAATAACAGTAATAATGAACAATAACAATGATAATGAGCCCTTATATACCTCTCCCCTGTGCCAGGCACTCTTCTGAGTGCTTTGTATATATGCAATGATTTGATTCTCCCAACAACCCAGTAAAGTAAATGCCTTTTTGTCTCCACTTTATGGAGGAGGAAATCGAAGTACACAGAGGTTAACTTATGCAGGGTCATATACCTGGTATGTGGCAGAAACAGGTTTCCCATTTGGAACCAGCCTTCAATTCTGTCTCTTCCCACTGCTCCCTGTTGGCTGTCTATCAGCAGACCCCGGGTTAGGGTTGCAGATACAGATATGAATGGGGTTCACTCCTTGCCCTCCAGCAGCTCCCCGTGTCGAGGGGCAGACACGCATACAGACGATTACAGACCAGTCTGGGAGTTGAATGGGTAAAGGGCCTTCCATACAGAGTAGGAACAAAGGCAAGGAGTTGCGTGGGGTTTTATATGCAGGATGGGATGATGGCAGCTTAGGGAGCATGTAGGATAACTGAGAGAGAGGAAGAAGGAGCCAGATCATGGAGGACATTGAAGGCCATGCCAAGAAGCTGAGCTTCTGACTGAATATGATCGCAGACTCCTGCCATATATAGAGCGAACTTCGCTGGCCCACTCTCCATCAGTCAGAAGTGAACCACGCCAACTCTCTGGTGACTCAGTTCTCAGTCATATCCACTCTGGTCAGGTCTAATTCAACTGTGTCCACAATGCTAAATTTGTTTCTCAAGGGAAAATTCACAGATGTTAGCTCTGTAAACTTGTAGTTAAGACAAAAGTTTATTCTAGAATAGCGAATCATGTTTACAAAGTCACTACCGAAGTTGCAACATGGAAGAGAGGGATGGTTCCCGGCTCGTAGTAGATGCTCAGTAAATATTTGTGGAATCGTCCACACAATTCCAATCATGTGAGCCTCTCTCCCCATCCACTATGTATTCTTTTGCAGTTTTGACACCCTCATTAAAGAAAACCTTAGGGAAAAGACACCATGGAGAATAAGCGCCACTATTGTTGTGAGCTGCCCTCCTTGGAGATGTAGGCAGTGTATGTGCACAGCAGTGCCATGGACACCAGCTGGCTGGCGTGAACGAGGGCACCAAGAGATTTGATAGAGGGACCTTTGTTGATAACAGTTTGCATAAGCCCCTGTCCCGAGACCTATTACAGTGTGAGCCCTTTGTTTCAGAGAGTCAAAATTGTGTGTTGTTTTCTGAAATGTATCTAGCCTTTCTTCAGAACATGCATACACTTAGTATATTGTCCTACTTATAACTTATGTAATACTAATTACTGTTTATTAAGTATCTATGATGTGTTTCGCATCGTATTAATGCTTTGTGTTCGTTAAAAATTGTATCGAACATTTCCTATGGATTATTTCATTTAATCCTCACAGCCACCCTCTGAAATAGATCCTGTTATCGTTTTCAGTTTGCAGATGGGGAAACTGAAGTTTAGAGAGAGGCTGGTACAGGGCTAGCCCAAAGCCACACAGGAAACAAGTGGCAGAACCATCCGGGGCCTGTGTTTGCAGCCTGTATACAGTCCTACACGGTCTTCTTTTGCTAATCCTTTGCTAAAATCCACCCTGTAAGGAGTTATTCTGTTATTATTATTCCCAGATAAC